TATATATATATATATAGTGATTTATATAGGATCATTTTCAGATCATTTCAGACCACAGAACCAATGTGAAATTATAATGGATAAGAAAATTAAAGTCTATGAAAAGGCCATCTATAAAATTAAATTTCATTCTGATTATAAATGATAAAATGTTTACTTTAAATTCATTTTGGAATAAAATAACATTTTATTAACTAATAATGTTATTAAACCCAAAAATCCTGATGTTGTATTAAAAATTGTGTCAAATACCTAGAAACAGAGAAAAACAGAACACCTAAGAGTAAAAAGGAGAGGAAAAAAATAAAAACAAGAGAATAACCATGTATAGTTACAGTACTGTGACTGACACAACTCACCTCTCCGACCTTCTCTCTTCATTCTAGCTGGGTCCTCGTAGTCAGGAACCCAGTTATACTCTACAGGCATAGAGATGGGCCTCAGACGACCTGAAAACATAGACATGCGCATATACACACATCTCTTTCTGTGTGTGTGTGTGTGTGTGTGTGTGTGTGTGTGTGTGTGTGTGTGGAAAGACAGGGAATAGAAAGATGGAAGTAAAATGACAGTTCACAATCCATTTTCTCCACAGACGCCAAGGTAAGTCTGAGCGAGTGTGTGTTTGTGTAAGACAAACTGTCACAGTTAATGTGTCCTCTCGTTTTCTAGGGAAGCAGCGGGCATGGAGTGTGTCAGCAGTTCTGTGCCACTGCAGAGGCTCACGCTGGCATTTAACGACTAGAGCTGCACACACACAAACACACACACACACACACACACACACACACATACACAACACAGTGCAGCCCAGCTCCCTGGAGTTTAATTACAGAAAATCTGAAACCAACTCCCCTATGCAGGAAACTTGTTATAGATATGCTCGCTTTATAAACCATCAAGAAACATACAATCACACAGCATTGCAAAATTTGTCGGATACTTTACAGAAATAATTTAGATAAGAAGAAGCTTCCAAAACCAGTTATTTAGCTGGATCTAAAATGGATTTCTTATTAACTGCTTTCTCATTAACTGAATCTAGTTATGCAACATAACTGGAGTAAATAGTGTTTTTGGTATTTATGTGCTGTTTTATAATCAGCAGATGTTCATAGAAGTTTGGTCTGCGCCTTGAATTAGTTGGTGGGTCAATATTCAGTCTCTCGGGCATCTGCTGTAAAAGCTAGCAGAAAATAACTAATCATTTTATGGTGTGCAGAAAGGAAGAACCAAATTCCCCATGCTAAAAGAGTGAATAACCCTGATGTACCATCTAAGCTTTACAGAAATGTGCTGATAGACAAAACTTTTTGTGTCTGTGTGTGTTTGTGTACCGTAAGTGGGAGTGCTGTCTCGACGGGACGTTGTGGGTCCGTGGTTGGGGTCGTACTCATAGCAGTAAAGGACGGCTTCTTCTTCCATGAGAGGAAATCGCTGTCTGTACTCTTGATCCAGGAATGAGTTTGGTGATTCTGACCCTTTTGCGACAGATACCCCGCCTTCACCCAGGAGAATGCCTTTTTCATCTCTAAAAGCACAGCATAACATAATATATTCAGATTTTACTGTATGTACACTATTTAAAACATATATCTATATTAATTTATTTTAAAATGTTATTTATTCCTGTGATGGCTAAGCTGAATTTTTAACAGCCAGTCTTCAGTGTCACACGATTCTTCAGAAATCATGATTTGGTGCTCAAAAAACCTATTTCATATTACTATCAATGTTGAAAACAGTTGTGCTGCAATAGTTTTGATGAATAAAAAGTGAAAAAAACAGTATTTATTTGAAACAGAAATCTTTCGTAATATTGTTAATCTTTTACTGTCATTTTTTATCATTTTAATGTGTCAAGAAAAGCATTAATTTCTTCTTTTTTTATCTAAATAAATTCTTTAAAAATCCTACAATGTGATTTTCTGGATTTTTTTTTCTCATTTTGTCTCTCATAGTTGAGGTATACCTATGATGAAAATTACAGGCCTCTCTCATCTTTTTAAGTGGGAGAACTTGCACAATTGGTGGCTGACTAAATACTTTTTTGCCCCACTGTATATACCTATTAAATTTTCTGCAATAGTATGAATTATGCCCATACAGAGAGGTTAGCCAATAAAAACAGGCATATTCAAATATGTTTTCTTGTATCGAACGTACAGTAGTAGCAAAAGTAGCAGCTTGTTTCATTCTAAAGACATTGGACAAAACACAGTTTTTGATGTAAGATACCTTGACTAAGAATTCAAGTGAATTTCAAGCCAAAAAGCAGCTGAAGTGTAAAAAATCCTTTACTGGATGAGCTTACCTGGGTGTGTATGGCTCTGATGGAGGGGGCGGGATATACAGGTCTTGGAGGGCGGAGCTATCACGCTTGGAGGGTGTACTGATGGTGCTTGTAGGCGTGGCTGAGCTGCTGGTGGGACTCCTGGGAACGACTGGCTGCTGGGCAGACAAGATCATTGGATTAAAGATCAAAGTTCACATCTACTATGAGCTGGTAAAACGTCTGAGGGCACAACTAAATGTAATAATGGAGCTCTGTTCCAGGACGTGACCCAGACACTGATATCTGCAGACAGTCACAAGGGTGAGGGATAGAATAGGTCCCTGAGCAGCGAAACGGCGGCGCAGTCCCTCTACAGTGCTGTCTGCAGTAAACAGTGAACTGGGATCTCTGGGTCATGATGCTTTGACATAATGAGTGGGAGTCTATGGAAACATTTGCGGCATCTCCAGAGAACACAATGGCTTCAGAGACTATAGAGGTGTGATTAGTGTCTCCAGTGAGCTGAATGCCTGGGAACAGGGGTTGTGACACAGACTGCACAGACATGACATGCACAAAGAGTGCATATAATCAGTGAAATGAGCATGTGAGATGACAGCCGCCAAGATGGAGACGTACACAGATCTGTTTGGGGAAAACTGCTAAAAGTTTAGTCTAGAGTCACAAGTCTAGAGCCAAACTTGAATCCTTCCCCGAAAGCCGATTAAAGCTAATCTGCTCTCTCTGGCGCACACTTTCGCAACACTTCTAAGGCAGGTTAGTGATGTTACTGCGAATGACTTAATAAGCACCGTAAGACCCACGAAGGAAACTCCGATATCGAAACAGTCCTGTTATTTACACAAAATAAACTATAGTTGTGTTGCAAAATTTCAGTCAGAAGTAGGACGTTTGAATGGAAAGCGACATGTAAGCAGGCAGGTGCATTATGGGAAATGGCGTCAAAGGTGTCAGTTCCCTATCTAAGATGAGGCCAGGTAGCGGGTGGCAGATAAAGGGGGAAAGTGCAGCCCAAAACGATGAAGCTTTTGGGACAGGGCGATCTGAATCCTACCTGCAGGGCCAAGGGCTTCCATCTCATGTTCTTTAGTAGGGCTGGGGCGGAGGTGAGCGTGCTCTGGGGACGCTTTTTCAGGGTCAATGTCACACCGGCAGGGTCCCCTCGCAGAGAGCTTACCAAGTTTTTCAACTGCCAGCCCACCTACAGCAACAAACACAGGGTCAACAAACACAGACTCGACAAGAACGCCACACAGAGACGTCACCTGACAAGGAACTGCTAGGAAATCCTAACATACGTCTCTCTATATCCGGTGAATATGGAGAGAATATACTGTTACTATGTATCACACACACACATACACTTCCTGACACACAGTACATGTTGATTAAGTTTACTATGTGAAATGAGTGTGATGTTTGCTAATCATTTAATTGATTCCACATTTAAGTCTTTGGTAGAACTTGACATTCCCGGTAAATGTAAATATTGGAGCCTTCGGTTCTTCATAAATTATGTATAATCATGAATTCTGAAGCATTTTTCAAAAAAAATTCTGAATGATAATACTGACTATATTTTTAAACTAAACATAAAAAAATTAAAGATAATAAAAGACAAACATGAAGTCTATACACTGACTACATTTTTATTGTTGAAATATTTATGTTACACTGTTAAAATGCTTACTGAGCCAGCAAGTGAAGCTAATAGCTGGAGGCAACTCTTTAAATATAATTCTAAAATAATGTGACACACTATATGCAAACTCTACATTTTTAAAGATGTTTACATTACTGATGAATTATTAAACTACATAAATTCATAACATTTCACAGTTTCATAAAGTAATAAGGCTGTGCAGTGTACCACAAGTGATTTTACTATGGTTAAGATGTACTGTTAGATGATACAAGGCCACTTAACCATGGTAAAAATAATTGTACATCATCACTGACTCAAGTGGCTTACAGTGACAACAGCAACATTATAAAACAGGGGTTAAAATAAAATAAAATAAAAAGGCTTTACACATTAAAAATAGACCTGCTATAATATTATAGGATGTGGTCCCTCAAAAGGGAATCATAATTTTATTTGGGGATCTATGGAACCAAAAATTTAAAACCCTGTGATAAAAGATGTTCGATGTTTGATGTTCAAAAATTAACTTAATTATTTATGAATAATCACATTAAACAATTCTGCTGTTAGTTCAGATAGTTTTTATTTGATATGCAACAGAAATATTAACTTTATAATAAAACCTCATAAATCACTACAATGCCAGTCTATGAAAAAAGGTGAAATAAAGTAATACACACACACAAACATTTGTTTTTCTATCATAGTGGAAACTTTTGATTGATTACTATAGTTATACTGAGCTAATGATACTTTCTATCCCCTAGCCTTACCCTCACAGAAACCTTTCTGCATTTTTAGACTGTCATTAAGACATAATTTATTATGATTATTAAGCAGTTTACTGTTGGCTGGTTTGAGGTTTTACTATCCTTTAATATCCTTGTGGGGACATTTAGTACCCACAATGTAGGCAAAACGTGACTCACACACAGTTTACACTAACCATGTCCTTCACAGACAGAAATAACCACACAAACACACACACACACACACACACACACACACTCACGCACACACACACACACACACACACACACTCACACACACACACACACACACTGAGATGGGCTGGACATTCGGACCTGATCCTATAGCGTACAGAGACTAATCACTGAGGTGACATATCAAGTAGCACCCACAATGCACCATCCTTTAACGCCCGCTGAGGTTGTTCTTGAGCATTGTTACGGTAATTATTTGTCTGTGTGTTTTTCGCTACAAGCCGAATTCGTATGTATCGCTTATCACACATTAGAAGCGCTTTTATCCAATTATGAAGGTGACAACAATCTAATTACATGAGGATTAATGAGGCCTTAGTGTTGCTGATGTTTCATCACAAAACAGGCTCAGCATCCCTCACCACAGCGACAATTTGACATAAGACAAACAAGAAAAACTGGTGTAGAAGTTGAATTCTGATGCCTTGACGTAAGAACCATCATGCAAAGACCATCTTAAATCTGAATAACAACGCCATTGTGATCAGAGATGATGAAGAGGGACCATTAAGCTATCTGCAGCTTCTTTAACTTCATAAAACATGCCACCACTTGAGAGTAAAATTCAAATATTCAACGAATTATTCAGCACCTTATGCACATCAAACACTAAGGAAGTCATTTCAAACAGAATTGATTTCACAAGCTAAACTCCATGCGCAATTACTTGTACAAAGATGTACGCAGAAAGGGGAACTCCACAGGGTACGATCACTGGAGTACCTATTGACGCACTCCATATGCACGCAAGGAAATCTCTCAAATTCGACCATCCTTAAAAACACACTCCACTGCCCTTCATTACATTTACAGCCTCTTATGCCCTTTAAACATTCTCCAGTCTCACTCAGAAACGCAGTTTAAAGTGTAACACACTCAATCAGCATTGTGAATTCAGTCAAATTGGAATATAGTTGCCTTAATCAGAAATGAGCTAAAAATACATCTAGTAATATGTTTTAAAGCTCTTGGTGCTTTAACAAGGACACATTAAAGCCCTCAAATTCAAATGCACCTCATTTTCAGTTCCATAATTCACAAACAGACAGCAAAGGGGCAACTGTTGTTGAATGCCAATTGAGACTTACATATATAGGGAACAAAACTGATAGATGGATGGATGGATGATAAAATAGAAGAATAAATGAGCCAAATGGATTGAGTGACTGACATTGTTGAATGCCAATTGAGATTTACATATATAGGGAACAAAACTGATAGATGGATGGATGGATGGATGGATGATAAAATAGAAGAATAAATGAGCCAAATGGATTGAGTGACTGACGAGCGACTGACACTCACCACTGTCTGATGGTTCACCTGGATGACCTCGTCACCTGCGTGGATCTTCTTACAGCGATCCGCTGGAGACTAAGAAAGAGATGGAAAAATGGAGAGATGTCAAATGAAAACACAGTACTGCAATATTTGAAGTATTTTATTTACATAGTTGCTTTTATACAAACCAATTTACAATGCATTCTGGTATCACATTGTCTCTTATGCTCTGCATTTATTTGATTAAAAATACAGAAAAACCAATACAGTAATGTTGTGAAATATTATTACAATTTAAAAGAACTGTTTTCTATTTCAATATATTTTGAAATGTAATTTATTCTTGTGGTGACGAAGCTGAATTTTCAGCATCATTACTCCAGTTTTCAGTGTCACGTGATCAGTGTTGGGCAGTAACGCATTACTTAGTAACGTGTTACTGTAATTTGATAACTTTTTTAGTAACAGAGTAATTTAAGTAATTTAGTAATTTATCATCTAGATTGTAAAAAGGATGTAGCACAAGCACTGTCGAGTCAAGTGCCAGTGGATTAGAGACCTGCTCCGGCGAGCCCCGACGCAACAGCAGCGCAGGAGAAGATGGGCGAGTGCTGCTGCAGGCGGGTAGACATTCTTGTGTGTGCGGGATGCGGGAGAATAAAATGATTCACGGGATTCCCGCAAAATAGAAATATACGCAACAGCAGCGCAGGAGAAGATGGGCGAGTGCTGCTGCAGGCGGGTAGACACTCTTGTGTGTGCGGGATGCGGGAGAATAAAATGATTCACGGGATTCCCGCAAAATAGAAATATCTAAACATAAAATATCTAAAAAAAATAAATTGTTATTCATCTATTGCACAAAAGTAACATGAATTACATTTTGCCCAACACTGCACGTGATCCTTCAGAAATCATTCTAATATGCTGGTTTGGTGTTTAATAAATATTTCATACCATCAATACTGAAAACATTTGTGCTGCTTACTATTTTTGTGGAAACCATCATACACTGGCCTTTACTTAAAGGGGTCATATGATGCGATTTAATTTTTTCCTTTCTCTTTGGAGTGTTACAAGCTCTTGGTGCATAAAGAAGAGACTTGATCATATTTATGATATCATGGTTACAGCTTACAAAAAAACCCAATAAGCATTGAGCAGAGATACAAAAATAATGGGGATAGCATAGCTCAGATGATTTGGTCTGGCAAGAATATGATAAGATTATGTTAAAATCTCAGACTTCTGCATCTGCTTACTTTGGCATCTAGATCTCTTTTAAAACAAGTGGAGACATGATAAAAAAAATTTTGTCTGAGAAACAGAAGACATCTCAAATTGTTATACATTTAATCTCAGTGTGGTCTAGGATATGCAACTGAAATATGACATATGAAATACATATCGTGGTGCTTCTTTTCTATGGGTACTGCATATTGCAGTATAGCGTGTGATTTCCGCCCACTATTAGAGCTACAACAAAAACTAAGAGCTTTCAGTCACATGATCAGTGGATCTTTATTTAGAGCACTCCTGTCTGTATAGCGCTCTCTTTCTCTCTCTCCAGCTCTTTAATTTGAGTGTGTGCAGTAACAGCCGTGCAATCAATTGCTGAGATTCATTACTTTTATCTGCAGCATGCAGGACATTATAAAAGACACATGAATTAGAGCTCACACATTAACACCAACTGGCTCTTACCCCCTCTGTGGTTCCTGTGATAACGTGAAGCCCATCATATGTGGATTTGATGTACATTCCCTTAAAATATAAAAGACACAGGATGAAATTAATAGACTATAATGAATAATCTCCTCATCTCTTCCTCTTTCTGTCTCATGCAGAAGAACACTTCAAATGCTTTTAGTCTATTCATGTGTATATAGACAAGCATGCACACACACACACACACACACACACACACATTTGTTCACACACACACATTTGTTCATTCTTATGCACATCAAACACTGAGGAAGTCATTTCAAACAGAATTGATTTCAGAAGCTAAACTCCATGCGCAATTACTTGTATACAGACGTATGCAGAAAAGGCTCTTTATCAATTATTTGAAGGGAACTCCACAGGGTACGATCACTGGAGTACCTATTGATGCACTTCATATGCACGCAAAAAAATCTCTCAAATACAACCATCCTTAAAAACACACTCCACTGCCCTTCATTACATTTACAGCCTCTTATGCCCTTTAAACACTCTCCAGTTTCACTCAGAAATGCAGTTTAAAGCGTAGCACACTAAATCAGCACTATGAATTCAGTCAAATTGGAATATAGCTGCCCTAGTCATAAAAATGAGCTAAAAATACATCTAGCAATATGTTTTAAACATCTTGGTGCTTTAAAAAGGACACATTAAAGTTCTTAAATTCAAATGCACCTCATTTTCAGTTCCATAATTCCATACACAAACAGGCAGGAAAGGGGCAACTGCTGTTGAATGCCAAGTGAGACTTACATATATAAATAAATAAAAAAACTGATGGATGGATGATAAAATAGAAGAAAAAATGAGCCAAATGGATTGAGTGACTAAGAGAGACTGACACTCACCACTGTCTGATGGTTCACCTGGATGACCTCATCACCTGCGTGGATCTTTTTACAGCGATCTGCTGGAGACTAAGAAAGAGACGGAAAAAATGAGAAATATAAAAAGACAGAATAATAGATGTCAATAAAAATAGATGTCAAATGACAAAGCAGTTGAAGAATTTAATTTACATTCAAATCTAAGAATTTGGTAGATGCTTTTATTCAAACCAATTTACATTGCATTCTAGTCAAACGTCTCTAATGTTCTGCATGTATTTGATTAAAAATACAGTAATATTGTGAAATTTTATTACAATTTTAACATAACTGTTTTCTATTTCAATATATTTTAAAATGTAGTTTATTCTTGTGGTTACAAAGCAAATTTTCAGCATTATTACTCCATTCTTCAGTGTCAAATGATCCTTCAGAAATCATTCTAATATACTGATTTGATGCTCAAGAAATATTTTATATCATCATCAATGCTAAAAACATCTGTGCGCTTAATATTTTTGTGGAAACCATGATACTGTCACTATCATGGACTTTTTTGTTGTTGTTGTCTTTCCTCTTGTTTCCCTGTTTTGACCTAGTTTCTGTCTTCCTTTCTTCATCGAGTCTTCTTCGTCAACACACCGTGACAGATACACTATCCTTTACTTAAAAGTCTGGAGTAAGTAAGATTTTCAAGTGTTTTTTTTTTTTTAAGAAATTAAGTTTTATTCAGCAGTTACACTTTAAATTGATCAGTGACAGTATGGACATTTACAATATTATAAATATTTATATTTCAAATAAATGCTGTTCACTGAACTTCTATTCATAAAAAAAAATGTAAATCAAAAATTCTTAATCATCTTAAACCTTTGACTGGTAGTGTACATTTTTATCAGTTTATGCATTCCCTGGGAATTAAACTTATGCCCTTTACGTTGCTAGCGCCATGCTCTACCACGTGAGCTACAGGAATTGCATCAAAAAACAGTCTATTCTAATCATGTGACTTGATCATATTTATGATATCATGGTTACAGCTTACAAAAAAACCCAATAAGCATTGAGCAGAGATACAAAAATAATGGGGATAGCATAGCTCAGATGATTTGGTCTGGCAAGAATATGATAAGATTATGTTAAAATCTCAGACTTCTGCATCTGCTTACTTTGGCATCTAGATCTCTTTTAAAACAAGTGGAGACATGATAAAAAAAATTTTGTCTGAGAAACAGAAGACATCTCAAATTGTTATACATTTAATCTCAGTGTGGTCTAGGATATGCAACTGAAATATGACATATGAAATACATATCGTGGTGCTTCTTTTCTATGGGTACTGCATATTGCAGTATAGCGTGTGATTTCCGCCCACTATTAGAGCTACAACAAAAACTAAGAGCTTTCAGTCACATGATCAGTGGATCTTTATTTAGAGCACTCCTGTCTGTATAGCGCTCTCTTTCTCTCTCTCCAGCTCTTTAATTTGAGTGTGTGCAGTAACAGCCGTGCAATCAATTGCTGAGATTCATTACTTTTATCTGCAGCATGCAGGACATTATAAAAGACACATGAATTAGAGCTCACACATTAACACCAACTGGCTCTTACCCCCTCTGTGGTTCCTGTGATAACGTGAAGCCCATCATATGTGGATTTGATGTACATTCCCTTAAGATATAAAAGACACAGGATGAAATTAATAGACTATAATGAATAATCTCCTCATCTCTTCCTCTTTCTGTCTCATGCAGAAGAACACTTCAAATGCTTTTAGTCTATTCATGTGTATATAGACAAGCATGCACACACACACACACACACACACACACACATTTGTTCATTGGGACAAAGATCAATGTTGAGGAAGTTACATTGAAACTGTTTGGCAAGATACACAAGCTGCTCATAAGTTACAATTAGTTAAGCTACAGTCAAGCTTCACTGCTAACAAAAGGCTACCATTACATATTCATTCAAAAGTTTGGGGTTATTAAGATTTTTCATATGCATAAGTTTTCTCAAGATCTCATATGTATATATGATTATATATATAATTATATATATAATTAAAGTTATGCAAATAAAGGGTCAATTTTCATTATGTTTTATTTAGTTTTTAGTAAATGCAAAGGTGATGTTGACAATTGTAACTATGGCAACGTCCTCTCCAGACCACAACGACCACCGCCTCAACTGCACAAAACGCTTCCACTACATGAGAAAGCGGCAGCCGCGCGATGATTCCACCTTTCCGCTTTTTAGTGATAAAGGGAGCGCGCTTTGCGCATTTTCTAGGGTATAATCGAGCGAGAACCTCCCGCTCTCTCTCGTGAAGCCAACACGGAAGTGACTTAAAAAGTCAGAAAGCACAACGACAAATTTGAAAAGGGAGAAAAAAAAAGTTTGGCAAAAGACGGGATCGAACCTGGGTCGATCGCATCAAAAAGCCAACAACACGCACATATCCATCTGTGCCACTGGAGCTGATGATTCACAGCTACTTGTAACTAAATGAAAATAGACACCCCATATTTTTTATTCCATAGTAAGGGCAATTCATACAATACATTTAAACTGAGCTACTTTAATACCATCTCCGAACTTTCTACCACGACTCTGCTGTTCTTCGGCTGGTTCTTCTTGTATACGTTGATTGACAGATGTTTCGTCCAGTCAGCGGTGAGTAATCCCAAACCAATGGCGCTGTCTCAAACTATACCTACCTCTTCCGGTTTGTCTGATTTGTCGTTGTGCTGTCTGACTTATTTTGTTTTCGAATTTGTCTCAAGTGGCCACGCCCTTAATTATGCAGAACTTTAAGGCTTAATATAATTTAAACGGATGAGTTATAAAAAAATTCACCCCCCTCACAGTTGTCATGAAGGGCAAAATTAGCAATATAGACCTAAATCATTTTTTGAACCAGGCTGTAAACATGTTTTTTTCTGCTGTAAAGTTGGGCATTTTAACATGGGGAGTCTATGGGATTGACTCCCTTTTGCAGACAGCCTCTAGCGGCCAGTTGACGAATTACAGTTTAAGTCACTTCCGTGTTGGCTTCACGAGAGAGAGCGGGAGGTTCTCGCTCGATTATACCCTAGAAAATGCGCAAAGCGCGCTCCCTTTATCACTAAAAAGCGGAAAGGTGGAATCATCGCGCGGCTGCCGCTTTCTCATGTAGTGGAAGCGTTTTGTGCAGTTGAGGCGGTGGTCGTTGTGGTCTGGAGAGGACGTTGCCATAGTTACAATTGTCAACATCACCTTTGCATTTACTAAAAACTAAATAAAACATAATGAAAATTGACCCTTTATTTGCATAACTTTAATTATATATATAATTATATATATAATCATATATACATATGAGATCTTGAGAAAACTTATGCATATGAAAAATCTTAATAACCCCAAACTTTTGAATGAATATGTAATGGTAGCCTTTTGTTAGCAGTGAAGCTTGACTGTAGCTTAACTAATTGTAACTTATGAGCAGCTTGTGTATCTTGCCAAACAGTTTCAATGTAACTTCCTCAACATTGATCTTTGTCCCAATGAACAAATGTGTGTGTGTGTGTGTGTGTGTGTGTGTGCATGCTTGTCTATATACACATGAATAGACTAAAAGCATTTGAAGTGTTCTTCTGCATGAGACAGAAAGAGGAAGAGATGAGGAGATTATTCATTATAGTCTATTAATTTCATCCTGTGTCTTTTATATCTTAAGGGAATGTACATCAAATCCACATATGATGGGCTTCACGTTATCACAGGAACCACAGAGGGGGTAAGAGCCAGTTGGTGTTAATGTGTGAGCTCTAATTCATGTGTCTTTTATAATGTCCTGCATGCTGCAGATTTTGTTTTTGAATTTGTCATTGTGTTTTCTGACTTGTTATAATGTTTTCTGAATTGTTGTTGTGTTTTTTAGACTTGCATTTGCGTTTGTAATTTGTTATTTTGTTTTCAGAATTGTGATTTGTTTTGCACTTCTCGGACACCGTAGGTAGGGGCAGTGTTTTGATGCTTCCATCCGAAAAAAAAAAAGTGTTTTTATTTATTTATTTCATTTATATACTGTACTTATTTACTTATACTATATAAAAAAAAATTCTTGCCCCCCCCGACTCAAGAGTCAAATGTCGCCCATATATATATATATATATGTATTTTTTTTTTATTTTTTTTTTTTATGGCAAGCTGAATTTTCAGGAGCCATTACTCCTGGCTTCAGTGTCACATGGTCCTTCAGAAATTATTCTAATATGTTGATTTGTTGAAAACATGATTCATAGCACTAGAAAGTTCTAAAAAAAACATTTATTTGAAATCGAAATCTTTGGAAAATTATACGTCTTAACTGTTACTTCTGATCAATTTGATGAATGCTTGCTTAAGAAAAATATGAATTTATTTATAATAAATCTTACTAAGACCAACCTTTTGAATGGAAGATTATACTGTACATTAGTTACTCGTATTTATATATCTTATATTAAATAATTAATAGCATTTAATATATTAATAAATTATCAGATACTAATTATCAGAACTCATTTATTTTTACAATCGGGCAGATATATTTACACTAGATTTTTTAGTTTAACAATCATCTGTAGCACAATATAATTGTGTGTGATCTTACCAGACCCTCTGTAGGTTTAATATTAGCCAGTTGAACCACCTCTAGATGTGCCGACTGGGAGACCAGGGGGTCTGACGACAGTGAGATGATGTGGTCACATACTCCAGACAATGTCTTACACTTGAGAGAGAGAAAAAAAGAGGGAGAAAGCATATCAATTATTTTCTGCACAGATATGCTACACTGGGCGAACATTTATTAGATTTAACTCAGCATCGTAGATATGATCAAATTTAGGTTTAATGTCCCATGACCACAGAATGCATCTTTAGCTGAAGTCAATACTCCGCTTTTGTAGGGCACAGTTTTAATAAACAGGTGCAGTTCTGAAGCCATTTCATTGGGAATTACTTTGTTATGCCTAAAAAGACTAGGACTAAAGCTATGGGTTGGTCAGGTATGGTGATAATTTGTTTTGGAAAATGTGCTGTATTAATTGTCAGGAAGTTGAGTTTCATCCTGTTTTAGAAGAGTTCATTTTTTCAAGTCATATCTTTTTTCTCTTCCCCATGTGTTTATCAGTCTTCCCTGTACTCTCACCCCTTTTCGTTCATTATCTCAACAGCGTTATATCAAACTCTCAGCGATTATGATCAGATTTCACATGTCTGGGATATTGGTGGAGTTCACTCAAGGTGAAGGAGGTGGGAATCGATGTCGTTTCATTTCCTGTTAACCACTGCACTATTCCTCTGCTCTCCACTTTTCTCTCAACAAGCTTTTTACTGGCATGACTGTAAAGTAAATTACAAAACTGCTGAGACATTCAAGAAACTTTTCAAATATAATAAGCAAGAAGCAAACAGTGTTAAAAAAAACTACAATACATAATTGGAAGGAAATATACAGTATCTATCTAATCAAAACACAAAACACCTATCTATCTATCTGTCTGTCTGCCTGTCTGTCCATCCGTCCATCTATCTGTCTGTCTGTCTGTACCTAGGAAACATTACCACATAGCTACAGTGGTGTGAAAAAGTGTTGGCCCCCTTCCTGATTTCTTATTTTTTTGCATGTTTGTCACACTTTAATGTTTCAGATCATCAAACAAATTTAAATATTACACAAAGATAATTCAAGTAAATACAAAATGCAGTTTTTAAATGATGATTTCATTTATTAAGGGAAAAAAGCTGTCCAAACCTACGTGGCCCTACGTGAAAAATTAATTGCCCCCTCCTGTTAAATCATGAAAGAACTGCAATTAACCACATTATTTTAGAAAGCTGAGTTAAATTTCACTAGCCACACACAGGCCTGATTACTGCCAGACCTGTTGAATCAAGAAATCACTTAAATAGAACCTGTCTGACAAAGTGACGCAATAGCAAGTGCTTAAATAGCAACACATTATGCCACGATCTAAAGAAATTCAAGATGTACAGCAGCAACACTATTGTCATGCTTGCCATTTTTCACTTTGCTACTGGATTTGCAAAACATGCACCTGGATTTCTCTGCCTAGTATGACTGCAATTATATTGCGATTTGTATTTGCTTTTTAGGGTTCTGTAGCACTTCACTTTGTTTTATGGTTTCATCTCTCTCTCTCTGCTTCTGCTTTCATCTGGTGTCATTGGTGTGTTTGTTTCTCCTCCTACAGTCAGTAGCTGAGGTGGGGTGGTGCTGGGGAATGAAATCTGCTGCTAGCAGGCGCAATGTGTAGGTATTTATAGCTGTGGGACTCAGTGAGATTGACAGCAGTGCCCAGCCCAGCAGTCTGTGGCGACAACAGGACCTGCCACACACACTGCTGTGTGCTAGTGTGTATGAGACGGGAATCTCACAAAGAGCCTAGCTGTGGCTCTCCTGTGACTGCAAAGGGAACTTCACCTCAGGGCTTGAACTAGTAAAATACATGTTCACAAAATGGTTACCGGAGAACTGTAAAAAAAAAAATTTTTAAACACAGATGAGGAATCAAGTCTTTTACATGAAATAAAAGCAACTATTAAAATTGACTTCAAATGTTGTATTCAAATGCTGAGATCACTGCAAAATAAATAAATAAATAAAAAGTTGTGATCAAAATGTAGATGCATTCATTTGAATCATGTATTTTAAATTATTAGTCAAAAAGAAGTCCCTCAACTAGAAGTCTGTTTGAGAGTTATACTTTAAATAATATGTGGAAACAATATAATATAATAATATATAATCAGGCCTTAAATGGTTCTTATCTTGAAAAAAACTACTAGTTTAAAAGCACCAAACTCAGACTCATAAATGTACAACACAGAATGTATCAACAATGTAAAGGTCTATTTCACTATAAAAAAGGTCAAGGAAGATTCTTTGGGGCCAAAAATGCTGACTCAAATAAATCAAACATTTAAAGCATCTATTCACATCACTGTGTGGTTATAAAATTAGTCATCAGGAGTTTACATTTGATTAATTATTTGGTTTGGAAAAGTTTATGTATTAATTGGCAGGGAGTTGGTTGTATATAATATAATATAATAAGTTGGTTGTAAAGAGGTATATTATATTATATTATAAAACTATTAGATGAACCGCACTTACAGTAACTGATGCCTTAATTTACAACTAACTGTAATATAGTGCAATCTAAAAATAGATTTATTTATTTTTACTGCAAAAAAGATCAAGGAAGATTCTTTGGGGCCAAAAATGCAGGCACTACTGAATGATGACTCAAAAGAATCTGTTTGGTAAATGGTTCATTGAAAATGAACATTTACAGTGTCTATTCACATCACTGTGTGGTCATAAAATCAGTCAGGAGTTTAAAGTTAGTCTAACACACAGAAATAACAGGCAGAGAGAGAGTACGTGTACGAGCATCTTCACGGTACTTCCTGTAAATGAAGAAATAAGGGCAGAGCTCACAGGAGAAACATTAAAGCTCATTATCAGCCTCATATTGCAGAGTAAACCAGAAGAGAAACACTTACCACATGGAGGATCTTATTTTCGGTTTCATAGACGGTGCAGTCCTGCGAAGAGGAAAGAGTAAGATATTATTGCCATTTTAAACAGTTTAGGCCTCTCACGTACACACTCACCCACACAGAGCGCTTGAGAAAACATTTACTGAGAAAAGTATCTCTGCAGATGGGATAATCTACTAAACAGCTGGGTCACTGTGTTCAGAAATGTCTCTCTCTCTTTTTCTCTCTCAGATGCTGATCTAATATAGGAAGGTTGAACAGAGGAGAGCCCCGGGCTCAATTTAACATTCAGGCTCTGATGGAGACATTTCAAGGAGCTCCTGAGGTTCCCGCTGGGAGCTGGGACTGCTGTGAAAGTTCATGGAGAAATAGCAAACCTGCAGTGTGACTGTGTTTGTGGAGGTGTCATATACAATAAGATATATACAAGCGGAAAAACATGAAGGAAACTTCGGCAGTTATTTGCGTGTCCATTGGTCATAAACATCAATTTTATCAAGTACATTGATTATTATTAACTACTGTAATCTGACGCTGGAAGTGTCTCCATTGGAAATTCGTTGGGCAGTAAAACAATTGTAAATTTTAAACAAAATTTTTATTTCCAATGAAAATATATCCATTTATATAAAAAACTACTCCGAATTGGGTATTTTAGAATAATGATACATCATTTTTTTAGATGATTTCTATTTCAAATGAATGATTTTCTTTAGAAATTTCTATTATAATTCATTGCGTTTTGCACAAAATATTAAGGAGCACAACTATTTTCAACATTGTTGATAAGAAATACTTATTGAGTGGCAAATCAGCATATTAGAATGATTTCTGAAGGATCATGTGACACTGAAGACTGGAGTAATGGCTGCTGAAAATTCAACTTTGCCATCAAATAAATAAATTACATTTTAAAATAGAAAACAAGTTTTTTTAAATAGTAAAAATATTTAAGAATATTACCGCTACTGCTACTGTAAATGTACGTAATGTTAGTTACTGCTACAATTGCATATAAATATAATGAATATATTATAAATATAAACATATATATATATATATATATATATATATATATATATATATATATATATATATATATATATAAAAAAATATACATAACTTAGTAAACAAAATAAACTCGCTTTACTTCACTAAACTACTATTGAACCATTTACCATTATTGCCCAGGAAATAAGACAAGGATAATTTAACACAAACTAATATATATATATATATATATATATATATATATATATATATATATATATATATATATATATATATATATATTAAAAAATATACACATATTTATATAAATATGTGTGTGTACATATATATATATACAAAACACAATATTTTAAATAAATAAATAAAAGTCATAATCAATTATGTAATTGATATGGAGCAATTAAATCAATAAAATCCTTTTATTTTAATCATATGAGGAAAATAATCTTTGGCTGAAGGCACAATGCAATGTTGCAATGTGCAGCAGTTTAGTAGTTGATTATAATGGAAGTGACATTTGACATTTTTACTGAATAAGGCATAATGTAGTGCTGTTGTGAAGCAGGTTTTTTCTTGTGGGAGCCAAGTAAGTCATTTAATATTCTTAACAGTCCTGTATTATTTCATAAATGGCCAATGCATCATATACATCAACCAAAGAATATGGTATAGCTTTCTATTCAAGGAGCAAATAGCTTTATCATTCAAAGAAATTACATTGTGAGGACATTTGTTCCAAGGACAGACAAACAAGATCATAAACCCTTGTTTCATGTATACAGATAAATTTAGCATTTATGAAATATTAAAGAAGATGTACTGAAGAAACTGATCTCTGGCCATCAGCCATCACCATAGCAACACCCACTCTGCTTCCTGTATCCATCACTGACCCCCAAACCTAACAATGCCCAGTAGGAGGACATGATTCTCTTTTTCTTTGGTCGTTGAAACTATATGTCTCCGTTTCTGCAGCATCTTACCAAGAGGGCTTATTTTCTGTCATCGTCTTTGGTGCTCTCACCTGCACCTCTTCTCTTTCATCACAATAAAGTAATAACCAGCCCTCACACCTGAGACACTCACACAGCCAAAGCCTTGAGAGAGCGAAAGAAAAAAGTGTTCCCGGCAAATGAAACCGCATTGATTCACTTCCCTTCTGAGCACCCCTGAGCATCTCTATACCTATTCTCCAGTGCTGTCACTCAAGCCATGGATCATCACGCAGGACGCCAGTGTGCAAATGTGTGTGTGTGTGTGTGTGTGTGCATGCATGTGAGACTGGAGGCGCACATAAGACACATGCATTCTCATGCCACAGTAAGGTGTTTAAAGATCACACAAAAAATGAAATTCTGCCATGATTTATTCACCCTCACGTTGTTCCAAATCCAAATGACTTTATTCTTTTACACAATAGAAGAGTTTTTGAAGAAAATGGACAAGGGACTGTCGAGCTTTAAAATCACAATAAAATGATCATAAAAATGGTTCTATATAGTTGCTTTAAAATGTAATAACAATTCACAATATTACTGTTTAAATGTATTGTTGATCAAATAAATGCAGCCTTGGCGAGTTTTTCAAAAAAAAATTTTTTAATGTAAACTAGTGTATTTAAAATGTAATGTTTGTATTGCTAAAACTGCATAGAAATATGATTGAAAATAAACAAATAAATACATACATACATACTGTACATACGTACATACATACATAAAAATAGTATACCAAAATCACCACATCAACATATTTTAATGTATAAAACACAATTAACACAATGTCAAAAGTTAGTTAACGGTTATATACAGTAGTTATTTAATGGCTCGTATTGGTTCATCACATTGTTTTTATATTGGTTCTTATGCTGTAGTTAGTAAACTGAACACAAGATCCAGATTAGTTTGATTTATGAACAAATTATTTGGATTGTCTCTGTAAATTGGATTAAATTATTAATTTAAAAGATCCGACTCAAAAGAACCATTTATTCACAAATCAAACATTGCAAAACATTCCAAAGAGAGCTCTGTGGATGAAAAATATTAAAGAGATAGTTCACCCAAAAATAAGGTTACCATTTTTACGGGACACGTCCTTGCCAGGATTTCTATATTGCCTAAAATATCCAGGTTTTGGCTGTTTGCACTGTGCAGATCGATCATTGTATGACATTCACGAGAGCTATAGAGAGCAGATCAGATGGCTCCTTATGCTTTCGAATCGCTCTCGAGGTACTTTGGTGTCATTCAATGATCGGTGCGCAGAGATGCTTCAAGTCGAACAAACGAACAAACACGTGCGCTTATTTGCATCGCTTTGATCGTTCTCTGTAGATCTCACCTTCTCACACGCCACGATTGGTCGATTATATACAATACGTGCATGTTATTGGTAAAAACTACTTTGGATGTTTTAGGCAATATAAAAATCCTGGCCAGGACATGTCCCGTATGAACGACACATATGGCCACCCTACCCAAAAATGAAAATACTGTCATTAATTACTCACCCTCATGTTGTTCCAAACCCGTAAGACCTTAGTTTATCTTCTGAACACCAATTACGCTATTTTTGATGAAATTCAAGAGCTTTCTGACCCTGCATAGAAAGCAATGGAACTGACCCATTCAAGACCCAGAAAGTTGTTGTACTCTCGTGAACATGCGTCAAAGACTGACATGGAAGAGAAGACATTGTTGAATAGTCATTATTTTTTCTTTGCGCACAAAAAGTATTCTCGTAACTTCATAACATTACGGTTGAACTACTGATGTCACATGGACTATTTTAACGATGTCCTTACTACATTTCTGGGCCTTAAACTTGGTAGTTGCATTGCTGTCTATGCGGGGTCAGAAAGCTCTCAGATTTCATCAAAAATACTGTATCTTAATTTGTGTTCCCAAGATAATCAAAGGTTTTACTGGTTTGGAAAAACATGACGGTGAGGAATTTTCGGTTTTTCATTTTTGGGTGAACTATCCCTTTAAAATTTTGGTCTGTTTAACACAAACGTCTCAGGTTACGTATGTAACCCTGGTTCCTCGAGGGAACGAGACGCTGCGTCGGAAAACGCTAGGGGAACGGCTTCTGTGACCACTCTCTGAATAACATGTGAAATCTGTCCAATAGCTGAGCGGGACGTCACGGGCGGTTGACGTCATGACCAGGAAGCTATAAAAGCACGTGCGGCGGAGCCAGCGTCAGCTTCAGGAATGAGGCAAGCGCTGACAGGGATGCCGGAAGTATGGCACCGAGACGCAGTGTCTCGTTCCCTCGAGGAACCAGGGTTGCATACGTAACTTGAGACGTTCCTCTTCAGGAACTCGAGCTGCGTCGGAAAACGCTGGGGGAACGAGAATGCCTATGCCGCCAGACTTCCAAATCTCTGCCTAGTGTGGAAGACTGCACAGCTAGGGCGAGAGAACAGAAGAGCCCGGAGTGACTAAAGTAGGCGGGGCCCGCCATCCCGAAAGCCAACTTCTGGAGGAGTGAATCTTGACCCCCAAAGGAGAGGGGAGATCAGAGGACTCAAGGCTATGGAACAGCATCCTGATTTACCACTTAGCATAAGCTTCTCTGGCCGGAAGGCCTCAGCCTCAGCGCACTGTATAGGAAACGTGTAAGAAAAGGGTGTCTTCCCACTGAATGGCCACCGAGAGGGGCGTGGTAGGCCACAATGGCTGCCACGAAGCCCTCTAGGGTGGAGTGGATCAACTCTACGGATAAACAGGCCTGCAGGAACTCCAGAACTGTACCAAATGGGCAGTTAGCTGGGTCAGGCTGGCGGTCTCCACAGAAATACAGTTTCCTCATAGAGGGAGCTCTGGATGGTGGATAGTCTCAACAACCTCAGTTGAGAGACCGGAAGTTATGAGTTATGCCTCCTCAGAGGCCACGCCCACAGATTCCACAGCTCCGGGCGGGGGCGCGCCCTCCGCCTGTGAGAGGAGATCTCTCCTGATGGGAATCTCCCCTACAGCGCCGTCGAGGAGAGAAATCAGGCCTGAGACCCAACTCGGCCCGGCCAG